TGGAGTAGGCATACAAAATATGAAATCTCTTTCATTCATGGTTCAAAAGTTATGGCGAAGGTTAAAGTTTACAGACAAACAAATAAACAGACAAACAGACAGACAGGACAAAAACAATATACGCCTCGGATCTTTCGATTCGGACGCATAAAAAAGAAAATTATCAAAACATGGAAAATCTATGGGGTTATTGTTGTTCTTGTTAGGTTCCAGCTTCTTTTATTACCATTTTTTTTTACTCAAACGTACTACATTATATTAACATGTATATGAAAGCCCACGAAGGTTTAAAAAATATCGCTTTGAGACAAAACTTTCGCGTTATAACGCGAACTTTGGCGAATAAACGCGTTACTTTCGCAAATAAACCCGAAAAGGGTGCGAAAAAAAAATCTCAAAAGTTACTCAAACTTTTGCGGATTAGTGCATTACTTTCGCGTTATAACGCGAAAACTCACGAAATAATTTTTGATGTATTGATACTCGGGAAACTTTGATCTTGATTGATAAATAAGGAAATATGAACGCAGCCAGAGACGTCTATGAGTTTATAAATGCCATAATGTTTCGTTTTATTACGCGAAATTTTCGAATAAACGCGTTACATTCGCGAATAGGCGTGAAACTTTCGCGAATAAATTTGAAACTTTCCCCCGTTATATCGCGAAAATATATGTATATAGTAATGTTACTTAGGAACCTTTTATCTCCATTGACAGATAAGGAACATATGAAGTTATAAATGACATTTCACCCGAAGATGTAAGGAAAAATGATACGAGGAAAGGGTGGATTAGTCTCCAGCATTTTGCATTTTATTTCAAAACCCTACCCCCTGAAATTTGTGGTTTTTCTCCAGTAAATCGTTCAAACATGAGACAGAATTATCAGACTTCGTAATATCTATAATTTCGAGTTCAGTGGAATACAATATACCGGTATATCAAACAAACCCATGAGTAAGAATGAATACTATAGTATTGTATACATTGATAAAACGTTTTCATTATACATATTGTATCTAAAGGTCAACTAATTTGGCAAGAAACTTTTCATTTTCTCGTGAAGTTGTGGGTTGGGTGATCAGGTTCCAGTCTGACACTACTCAGCCCTTTGCCATCATTCACTGTGACAGTGGTATAGTATAGATCTGTTTGAGTGACTTATTTTCTTCTTTTGCAATGAAGCATCAAGGTGTTCGCTGTCAACTTCTCCATACGACTCTTCAATGTCTCTATCGTCGTTAAATCAACCAGTTTTGTGTTGGTTTCCATTTATATAGCCCTGATGTGATGCTGTTGCTCTAGCCGTTAGTATAAAAAAGTTATACTAATCTTAAGTCACGTGGCTAACTTTGATTATTCTGATTTATTGACGGTAACCAAATGATCTTCCTAAAATATACTTGGAGAAAATGTAAAGTATTGTAAATTCCTAAATATACGCGTGGAATTAATTATCGCGTAATTTCGCGAGAAGCACCAAACGCCAAATAAAATTACTCGCCTTTATTTTTATGGTGCTGAAATCTATGTAAAATTTCTTGATCAACCGTCCATTCGCGAATTATTATTCTCGCGATTTGCCGTTGAAGAGCCCATTCGCGATAATAAGTACTCGCGAAAAATAAGGAATCTACAGTATTCAAGCCCAAAAGTCCAATACAAACTAGGCGGAGAGGAAACACGGACTCCCAAAGCATCAATGGTGGGACCAGGTGCCATGGAGGAGTGCGCATCCCCCGCCGCGCACTCCTTGTCATGATCGGGAAATAGCGGGAAAATCCGTCGACAATCCAGTGTGTTAATATAAATGTACTATTAAAATGTCAGGTTGATTCTGCCTCTCATAGTTGCCTTTTGTCTCTCCTTCGATAATTGCCTAATAATGATATCCCTTATACGTATTGACGCTGCCTTATGTGCCACTTGGAATGAAGAGGCCTAAGTGAAGAAGTAAGTACATGTATACGTACCGTCTTTCTATATTGGATATTGTAATTTGATAGAAAGATGTTTTATTATTGAGTGCAGTATGAGTATATCTTCAAAGAAATTATTTTTGCAAAAAAAAAAAAAAAAAGATAATAAAACTTTTTATTTAATAAGAAATAACAATTTTACTCATCGCCAGTTAAGATTTGATGCGAGTAATTTGATGACATAGTTTATCAGAAACGTCAGTGTGTGAACACAGTGCTGAAATTGTTATGGGAGCTCTAAACACTAATAAACAGTGCTTTTTAGACTTGGATAAAAATACCAGATAAAGGTTTGAATATTGGGACTATTTAGTTAATTTTCATCATAGGGTATACCTGCCTTATTTCCGCAGGAAACATATTCAGACAATAGACTATTCGTGAGCAGAAATCAATGCTGTGATACTTACAGAGGAAATAAATGGAAAAATTAAATTCGTTGACTTATTCTTGGTCTAATATAATGCTTAAGAATATTTGAATCTATTACAAATTGCGTAATCAATTGTAAATAACCATTTTTACCCCCATCTTTCTGCATGCTAAGGGCAGATCACTCTAACTGCAAAATAGAGTTCTTTAGTGTGCAGAATTTAATTTTATAGAGCTTCCTTAAAGAATCTGCTTGTCCAAAATATATTAGTTCTAGAGATATACTTTTTTCAATTAATCCAAATTATTATTGATCATTTCTGAACTTGAAATTATTTTTATGAGAGTCCTGGTCTTGAACTCAATAATTATTTTCAAATATTTGAAGAAGTACATGTAGCAGCAACAAAACTTGTTATTTATACACTGTCATAATGGTAACTTTTGTCAACATTTCTAAAAGGTCAAATCATGATTCCCGGGTTTAGGCGGGTCGATAATAGGGAAACCAAGTGTTACATTGAAATTATAATAGGAAAAATCTTTTTAAAATCTTCTTCTCAAGAACCACTGTGCCAGAAAAGTTGAAACTTTTTGGAAGCTTCCCTAGATAGTGTAGATTCTAAATTGTTCAAATCATGACCCCTGGGGTAGGACGGGACCTCAATTATTGGAAAACCAGGTTTTACATTGGAATATATAGGTAAAATCTTTAAAAATCTTCCCTTATTTTTATTTAAGTTGGATGGGGCTTTAAAATGGGGTCAACATTTTGGTGTTAATAAAAAAGGTAAAAATTTATTAAATTTCTTCTTCCTCAAGAACAGCTAGGCCAATGTGAATCACTAGGCTTTAAAATCTATGAATGTTATACATGTATTTTGTTTATTTTTTTTAATTTGTGTTATTTATTTTTCATTCACTCAAATCGCTTGAATTAAAAAGTTAAACTTATAAATCCGGTTACATCCACACGGCACTTGTTTCCTTTTATTACATTCCAATATTGTGTATATATGTACTTTACAATTAAATCGATTGTAGGCATTTCTTTGAAAAATTAATTAATCTATTGTAATTTGCTATCCAGGTCGGTATTTTTACATTTTATGACGTCGAATTTATATTTTAGCTTGTTTACTATGGATTACTAATCAGTTTTCTGAACTTGAAATTATTTTTATGGAGTCCTGGTCTTGAACTCAATAATTATTTTCAAATATTTGACTTTTTAGCAGCAACAAAACTTGTTTTTTTTCCGTTTTAATTTAAATTAGACTTCCTAAATCCTTTTTAAAATCTTCTTCTCAAGAACCACTGTGCCATAAAGTTAATTTATTTTAATTTAAACAATATTTTATTATGATAAACATAATTGGATTGGACAGCAGGCACTGCCTATATAAGTCCTTTCCACAATACAAGGTCAAAATCATACATGTACAAGTAAATATTATTAATATAACATTGAAAAATATAAACATATACATGCATATATTCAGTAGAAATGTATATGACAAGGCAAATAAAGTTCTATCATGATTTGATTAATACCTGAATGAATATAAAAGGCCAAATTTTAAATGTTATTTTTTTTAATTCTGTTCTATTTCAAATTCATTCATTACTTTCAAATGAAAGTAGAAGAAGCAATAACATTATTTTGGATTTCTAGAATTGGGTACTTCAAGCACTAAGCTCACGAAGTGCGATATGAGTATGATGGCAAAATTCATTATATTTTTGCTGTGGAAGAATTTGCACGATGATACTATGTAATGAAGATTCTGTGTAAGTCTTGTTTATGATTTTATTGGGTGTTGGGTATTTGCTCAGAGTCGCTGTTTCCATGTCGAGGTATGAAAAAAGAGCCCCCCCCCCCCAAAAAAAAAGAAGAAAATACCGATACTGCTTGCCCGAGAATTCACAAAGAATTAATTGAATTTTGATGAAAAAAAAATACAAACAAACTTGTACAAGTTTTATTGATGTTTAAAGGGAAAGTATCGTTAAACACGTTTTTTTCAGTAAAAGCATTTTTTTTTCACTTCTCACAAATCTTTACTTAAAAAACTACTTTAATAAAGCCAAAATCCATCAAAAAGAAATTGATTTTTTTTTTAGCATTAACACATAAATTTGAATTTATAAACAAGAAAATAGAAGCTATACTCACATTTTTGGTTTCGTCGTGACCTCAATTATAATTTTTTAAAATTGATTTTGTTCAATTTGCAAGTAATCATTTATGATTTAACCACGTTTTTTCATTTTTTTTTCTGTATCTGAAATAACTTCAAAATTTTTATAAAGTTCTTTTTATCTTTGAAAACTTTGAAAATTAGAACTGTACTTGAATCTAGATTTATTTTTATTGAATGGGCAAGTACCTTGCACCATTTTCATAATAATAAAAAAGGGGCTTTTCAGTGTTTAGTATACAATGTTAAGTTTTTTAAAACCTTACTATGTGTACATTTTTTTGTCAATATTTTTCCATTCATAAAATTTGCATTCAACAACTGAAACGTTTACTATAATATAGCAGTACTCATGGGTATCAAGCTTTTCCAATACACAGATTTAGTCCAACATGAGTGGATAGCGTGCGCGCACTTGCTGTGACGTAGCAATCCATATACGGAATTGTGTCAATTACGGCGTAGAGTTTTTTGTGGGAAAAGGTCGATACTTTACGCGATACAAACAAGAGTGAAAAATAGTGATATTCTGTGTTAAAGGATTTTTATTTAGTAGAGCAATCTATCTGATTGTTTTTAAAGGGTGTCCTTTTCTTTTGACATGGGAATTTGGATGTGATTGATGAAATCAACTGTATATTGACCCAATTCTCTATCTGATGTGAAGATAAGATTCTAAACGGATGTTGAAACTTATTTAGAAATTTAATTAATTTTGAATGTAAGTATTCATTGATTAGTTGTATTTGCTGTCCTTATTATTTATGTTTGAATCTGTGACAGTCGGTGGTAACTGAGGAAACATTATTGACTTCTCTTTTGTAAATGGTCGGCCATTTTCAGCAAAAGCGTGACCTGGCTTTGGCCTTATAAACAGTGTTATCTGCTAATAACAGAGGCAATATTAACCGTTAACATTCTTATTTATTTTTACAAATCAAACATTTATATATTTTTTGTATACATTATGAAACCTTCATATTAAAAAAATGTGGTAAACACAGGCTTTATGGAATTCCTGTTGGCAGTGTATTTGTTTACATGTTTGATCTATCGCCATTTTTTCTTTGTAGATATAATCTAGGTCATCTGAGGGTAGAAGCGCGGTTCTGGCAGCTAAATGTGTTATTGGACGAGGGGAGGGGCACATGGCTTAACCTAATGATGTGGCCCTCAGCAGTTCCACTTGTGACCGTGGGGCTTTCCCTTTTACTTCTGACGGGGAATGGTAAGTGAAAAGATTGGATGAGATGAAAGTTGGCCTTGAGGTCAGGTTGCCCTCGAGCAAAATGGGGATTATTCAATTTCTTGACCTCAAATCGCCCAAAGGTTAATCCTTGTTTTTGTGTTAGAAAATCTGATAAAGACAAGGAATTTTAAATTCAAAGCAAAATAATTATTCTGGTAGAAAATGTGAATATTATTTTTTTTCCCCCAAGAATCGATGAAGTAGATTTTGATTTTCTTTTTATTTAGTGTAAGTTGCAGATGGGATGTGTTTTAAGCATTTATTTAAAGTTGGAGTACTCAATATATTGCAATAGTAAGATCAGATATTGTAAGCTAGTAAGATCAGATATTGAAGATACTGAATTTGTGTATTGGAAAGGTTTTTTTTGCCAGATTAAATTATTTTAAAATTATGCTAACAAAAAGAAATCGGTATTTATCTTAAACATGTATAGTTTTGATAATTGATCAATTTTACATAATTTTTACAATGTCATTGATAATTCTGAATACCGTTTGGACATTAAAGTCAGCTACCTTTACATATGTAAACATGTAACTGTTTTTATCATTTTCAAAATTCTTCATTAAGCTCCTTAGCTACACTTAGTGCCAAAAAAGGAAAAATGAATGCAGAGTTTTTGAAGTCAATTATTAGATATTTACGTCAAAAGAAGGAATTATTGAGTTCATTTTTCTCATGCAAAAGGATGGTGACTTCTATTATTTTTTCTTTTAATGTATAATATTGCCAGTTCTACACGAAGGTTGTCGTATAATGGCCTTCTGTAAAGCATTGACATGATGTACTTACAAGGGTCTTATTTTTAGGGTAGTGTAGTTGACTGCCTTGTATAATGAGAACCTTAATGTAATCAATAAGCTGTCATTTAAGTAGGTCTTTTTATAGCCTGGGCATTGACAGGTGAAGTTAGGGGTGAGAAGTATTTCCAGCTGTTTTGTACTAGCTAAGAAAGTGTTTACAGGCGAACAACTCTTGCTTGGCTGTGCCATGCAGTACAGTGTTTATTTTTGACAAAATGGGATGGTTGAATTTTTTTTTGGTCAATGATTTTGATATCAAGGCAGTCTCTCTCTTTTTTTTTTAATCTTTGGCTTCAAGGACATTGTAAACTTTGATAGAACATATGGTTCCTGTTTTCGTACAAAAGAAAGAAGAAAAAAAAGATACCTTAATTACATCTTTACAAAGAGTGTAATATGTAGATATCAAGTTTGTATGCAGAAGGATTTTACATTAATTTTGATTATTTTCATTGGAGTATATGTAAACTTTTGACTCCTGTAATCCATCTGTTGTTTACATCTCATGTTACCTGTGATTACCTGGTCAATAGTACATTATCAACCATTATCTGCAGTACACTTGTAGCAGCATGGTGACTGACAATAAATCCAAACAGGAGAAAGTTGAACCTTTGAAACAAAATGAAATACAGTTCATGAGACAGCTATATTGCATTTGATTTGATCTTATTTGTAATAGTTCTATGAGAACAGATAAATTCATGTTTTCTATCTCTACTGAGCTACTTTGAGTTTCAGACTCAATCGAGCTTTTCTGATTGAAGAACAAAAAAAAACATTTACTTACATATTAAAATATTCAAAAATGTTAATTGAAATTTCTTTTATAAAAAGTGGAAAATAATATTTTTACTTTAAGTGCAGCTACACTGTTTGCTTGTCACTTGTCATCTATAAACTTCTCATTTTCATCTTCCAGAACCATTGTGCAAACTCAACATTCACTACAAACCATTGTTTCATAAAAGGGATTCATATTATTTAAATGATGGGCCACATTCTCTCTCTCAAGGTCAGATAATTGAGATGGTAGGATTATTTAAAAATCTCCCCTTCTCAAGAAAAGCTAGGCCATGGAATCAAAACTTAATTAGGAAAGCTCTGTCTGATTTCATTCTGATTCATAATTGCCCAAGTCATTATCCCCATTGGATGGGGTAGGGCCTATTTGTCATAAATACATATTCAATAGCATTGGGAAAAAAGTCATACATTAAAAAATTTAGGCACCACCAATTCCAAAAAAAAACCTGCTGGATCAGACAACATTCCAGGTTAGACAACATTTTTAACAAAAGAATTAACTAAAAGGACTTAAATTAACATTGTATTAAGCAAGGTTATGGATTATACAATATCCGGATTAGGCAAGTTTCACTGTATTTACATGTAAGCATTGATACCCATGAATTGCAAATGCAAGTTTGTCTAAATTGTAAGAGAAAACCTCAACATGTCCGTTTTTCATTGTTTTATTGTTCCACGGTGACATTAGCACATAGTATTACCAAGTCAGATATGTTTACTGTAGAATTGTCTTTGGTCTGTTTGTTTATATACGGTACTTGTCAACTTCAACATAAAAGTTTTGTTTTTTTTATTGAAGAGTGTGACAAAAAGTTATATCAGGTAATAACTAGAAATTAAAAGTCAATATCTTGTTCATATGAAAGATGTAATCAACTTCACCGCCCCCTTGTAATAAACTTTTATATCTCTTTATACAAGATAAGATGGCATGTCTTGTTACACGGAGAACCGTGTAATGGTACAAACTTGTACTTTTAAGTTCTGAATTAGCTACCACCAAAGGCTATCATGGATTATGTTTTCAAATTTTGTTATTTTTCCTTTATTTATGAAGTACAAAAAGAGAAAAATTTGCACTTTTGATGCTTTGGTGGTAAAAAAGTCCATCTCTTCACAAGTTGTCAATGGCCTCTTTTGCATCACTTGGTCAATGTAATAGGTTTGATCCCTCAAACTTTGTTTTGATTCCTTTTGTATAAATACATACACATGCCTAGAACCATGACCCTACTGTACTTAACAATTTAAGAGGAATCCTGGGCCATCAATAATTTTTGTTAGAAAGTTGAAGCAAGTTGGGGGGGGGGGGTGATTGAGGTTTGACGAAAAGGTACAGCAGTTGATTAAAAAGAAGACAATTTTGATATGAAAATTGCCTGAAGTGAATGCAGTAACTATAGACTAGGTTTTCTCTGCAATAGAGAAGTAAAGCAGTAGCCCAGTAGAAATTGGGATGGTTGCAGAGATAGCTTTGGAAAGAGGCTCTTGGTTCTTGTAGGTATATGCAGATCATTTAATAAAAGTAAACAACATATGATTATTAATCAGATATTGATTTCAACAATACAGCTTGAACTTTTTTAGTTTCACATTTACAAAGTACACTATATTAAGGTGTAGAGATGACTCAATACAGTGGAAAAAAAACCTATCTGTGGCAATTAAGTCTCTCCGATTTTGATTTGAACCGATGATGCATCATGCGTAGCTTTAATTACAAGCTGTATACATCTTTGTATTGGGGTGAAGCTGAGAGGTGGGGGCTTTATCTCCAAACTGAAGATATTATGTTCTGCAAAACCCTTGTTTATTTCTCAACCTTACCACATCAAAGAGCCATTTCCTCAAGGTCAAGGCTAAGAAGCGTGTTGAACATAGCTATACTTCCACCTCCTAAGGGTTTATTTACATCAGGAACACGTATCTTTTGGGGAAGAGAAAAAAAAATGAAGAGAGCTGGCAGAGTTGGTAGAAATAGCAGGAATTTATAGTATCAGTGTGTGGATGAAAATAATTATGGGTTAATGCATGCATATTGTTTTGGTGCTAGAAAGAGCATGGTTATTGGCCAATAAATAAAACAGAGAGTCATTAATTGGAAATTTGGCAACCATCACATATTGGGCATAACACTAACACACAAATAGCTCAGGTTAATTTGATTTTTTTCCCTCCTATCTTAAAGATTATAGATAAAAAATGGCTTGCGAGAGATAATGAGGCTATCAGAGTGCTGTGTTACAACGCACTTTGAAAAATTTTTTCAAAGTGCTTTGAAAAAATAAAATTTCTTTTCAAAGTGCGTTAACATGGACTATATTAACGCACTGGTGTATGGATTTGTCAATATTCCTGCAAATCTTAGGTATGATAAATAATTGAACCTGTTTGATAATTCTTCTGTGAAGAGGTCACTTCAGGATGTGAAAGTGAGCGATTTTGATTTTTCTTTACTTTGAACGTTCTCTTTCGCTTAAATGCTTTACTGTACTTAATTTATTTCAAGTTTGCATGCACTTTATGTAAACTTAAATTGATTGAAAGTTTTCAACGTCATACCAGTTATGTAAACACATATATTTGGGTGTAGCATAACATCAGTACTTACATGTAGGCATATAAATATTTTGCAAAGATATACATAATATATACATGTATGCATTAAAAATTGGGGCTTACCTGGTTAATTTGCTACCGACGGCTATGATTTTTTTCCCTCCTATCTTCTCCTTGTTCCAATGAGGTTAAATAAGTTCATGTAAATTTAAAAAAGTTTTTCGAAAGATATAATTATTACATTTTGATTTCTTCTGTTACTAAAATCTAAGTCTATAGAATTTTAGTGCGTTAGGTAAAAAATGTTTATGTGCATTTGAAAAAAATTTTCAAAGTGCGTTGAGTGTGTCATTTAACGAGGCTATCAGAGTGCTGTTTTTTGGGGAGGTGAAGTAACCTTACATGACCAATGGGTTATTTTTATGCACATATTAAAGAGGTATTTAAGATGTTCACTAGCATTCACTCTGAGGAGAGATTTGATTATTTAAGGAAACCAAGGGAATTTCTTTGGTTAAAGATACCAGAGAGACACAGATTCCAGTAAATTATTGAATGGCTTAGGAGGATTGGTGCAACTTTTGTTTTATTTGATGCTGAAGTTCATAGAAAGTCAATATACAAAACTAGTCATAGAATGCCCCGGGGTGATTAAAATTTTAGTAGATGTGCAGCACTGCAGGGATATTGATTATTTTAAAGATGGAGATAATATCATAATACTGATGGAGATTATATCTTAATATTTTTCCCCAATCGTATGCGGTGATGCATGCAATGTCGTCACTGTCCATATTATTCTGTCATTAATTTTTGTTGATGTTGTTTAGAAAACAATATAGCATCTAAAAGTTTGATAATCATAACAAAGAGCTTTTTTAATACTCTATGTTCAAACTTTTCAATGGTTCTCTGGTCCACTTTTTTTTAAAAGATGTTTGAATGTCATTAAAATATATTGGAAAAAAGTCATTTGAGAAAATTAATGTGAAATCACTTTGAATGTTCACCCTGTATTTCTTTTTCAGTATATTTCTGAGAAAAAGACCAAATTCCATTAAATTTTTCCAAAAATGCCAGTGGGTGAAGAGTTAATTATATTGTTTTTTTTTTCTTTTTTCAAGTAATATCCAAGGCTTAGAAATTTTTATGAAATAAGATCTTGTTTACAACCCCCCCCCCCCACTTCTTTACCCCCTTTCCCTTTTTATAAAAGTTTCAACTTTTGCAAATTCATATGAAGCATTTTATTGAAGAGAAGGTATTTTTTTTCTTTGAAATCAAAAGGAATCTATTTAATGACTTTGCTTAAAAAATTGTTTATAGGCACATAAATCACTGCATGAGGTTTAAAGTAAATGCTATTTTATTCATTAAAAAAGTTATGGTGCCTAATTGTATCTTATGCGAGGTCTCGGTAAATAATTTTCTTTTTCACATTATAAATCATGATTATCATTAATGCAAAATGCATGTTTATTTTATTCATTAAAAAAGTACTTGATGAGTTAGAAAGAACTGGTACTTTTGATATTATGCTAGGTACACTGTGGTGTTAATATGACTTATCTGTAAATTTTATGCGAGGTCTCGGTAAATAATTTTCTTTTTCAAATTATACATGTGCATTAGCTAACCGCATAAATCATGATTTGTTAATTTTTGTTTAACTAACTTGAAGCAGATTTCTTCAATCAAATTCTTAGAGATTAGCGATATTGTTAAAGTGCCCCATGGAGCTGTGAAGTACTTTGATCTTGTGAGAAGTTATAGTTGGGATTTTAGGAGGTACAAACCCATAAAGCTCACTCATGCATCTGTGTTTGTGAAATCTAGCAACAATTTAGTGTAATTAATATATAAATTTGTCAAATAAATAGCTAGTATGTCTGACAAAGCTTCAGAAGTTTGAAAACTTGATGAATTTGTATGTATATGAGAGTCGTGCTCATTGGTTAATAAAAAAAAGCAATTTGTATAATGTAACAGCTAGACTACAGTTATATGAACTCTCCCAATTATATACAGAATTTATTATAGAAAATTAGCAATTTACTTCAAAACTCTAAAATCTACTGCTTAATTAAACAAAGAAAATTTTAGAACATACATTATTGATATCTTTACTCTCTAAATAAATGTGATTTAAAATCAATTTTAGTATAAAAAATCTTATTCCATCACATGAGTTTTCAGATATCATTACTTGCATGAGTATAGAAATTGGCAAAGATTGTACAAACAGATTATGAAATATTTACCATTCCATACAAGGAGTTTCTAATTGTTATGATCAGGTTCACATCAGGATCATCTCTTCAGTAGATGAATTATTGAAAACAAAACTCCAATTTAACCTTTTAAGATGAATTTAAATGTAAAACTTGTATCAAAATTCTGCATTCTAATTTATCAGCACATGTAACCTATGGCACATTACTTACAGATTATTGAGTACCAATTTCAAGATCAAGTGATTGGTCAGAGTAGTCATCATTCAAAAAAAATATATATGTATCAGCTCTATTTACTGAAATTTGGATAAAAGAATGATACCCATCAAGGTATCTAGATCATGCATCAATGATATAAATATGTTTATTTCACTGATAAAAGCCAAGGTTTTGGGAACTTCTTCCAAGTTTTGATTATAATTGAATTATTTCTGTTTACCTGTGCAAAGCTAGATGAACCAATCATGTAAGGTTATTGTACAAAGAGAGAAACATTTTTTATAAGGAATATAAAGGTTAGGAATCAAAGTATACTAAGTTCAAAGGGTTAGGTTAATAAATATCAAGGTCAGAGGTCAAGGTAAATTTATATCAAAGTCTGATATCAAGGTCAGGGTCTTGATCAGTGGCAATATCAAGGTCACAGTGCCAATGACAGTATTTGAAACACCTTATCATAATATTTTTATGCTATTATGATCTCCACAAGGCACTAAGAAAAATATATACCTTTGAATGACCAATAATTAGGTCAAAGGACAAGGCTAATCTCAAGACATACATGAGTTTTAAAAATCTTGTTCTCATTTATTTAATTTGAATTTATTGAATTAAAAACTTTTCTCTTTAATTTTCAGGCCTTGCAGGGTCACAACCATGTAAAATTTCCTTTCCAATGAATACTCAGTACATCTCGGCTTACTATGACACGGTCATTCAAGGGAAGGGGTGTACTAGCAATGCTACAACTAACAGCTCTGCAGAGGTTCACACCATCAACCTTCTTAATGCTGGCCCAGTGTTCAGGAATGACATGGCAGAAGTGAATTTGTTGATCAAATCTCGAATTGAGGAGAAAGGTTAGTATTCAAATTGGCTGATGGCTGTCATGTATGTCATGTCTTTGTACAATTGATTGCATAGTTCACTTCCTCCAGAGGTAGCTAAAAATTAACCAGAATTAATTAAAACGTATTAAATTTATATAAAATTGTGTCAATTATGAAAAAAAAATTGATACAATATACAAAATCTTTCTTGGAAAAAGTCATTTGTTATTTTATGATAATGATTTGTTTTATTGAGTATTATGTAATTGTTTCCAGTTGTTTCCTGTTTTTTGTATTCTTTGAATTGGCATTTACATATTCACAAATTAATGTATAACATACAGTTGAACTTTTTATCTCAAACATCGATATTTCAATTACCATGGACATGATGAAGACGTACGTCTCACTGCGTGAGTTGATGATCTGAGTTTTTTTTTCCATCTTAATTGAGCTCAAGATAACAGGGATTGACAGTTTTTGATATATTTGTAAATTGTTGCCCCTTGTTGAATTTGTCATTTTTGCTGTGTGTTTGAACACTACAGGTCTCTGACCATGAGACACAAACTCAGAGTTTATGACTAGAAGGTAACTTGACCTTAGGCTGTAAGCACTGGTTTCCCACATCTCTGTAGATTTTTACGTCTTGCCCTACATCTGTTAATTAAAGTCATGTACTACAAACAGTAAATCACGAATCACAACAGATCCTGATTGTAAAAAAAAAAAAATAAAAAACTCTAATCTGTTGAGGGGTTTAATTCCCCGTGTACTAAAGTTGTAAGTTAATCTGATGATAGGCTTAGTAAAAATAGAAATGTCAATATATATGTTGATCTTCTCAAAAGGAATGGAAAGTTCACTACAGTATTTTGTGCAGGAAACTATTTATCTTAATATTTCACAGGAACATATAGCATTAGATTCATTGGTGATAGGAGAGGGAATGCAAAATACTGATTGTATAAATTAAACTACAGCCATTAGTTTGGAAGGTCAGTGACCAAGAAAATGGTTGCAAATACTTGAAGGACAAACAGATACTTTGATGCATCATACTCAATAATTTAACACTTCATATCTGAAGGAAAAAAAAAATCCCAAAATATGTAAAACAGTGCAAAAGAGGGTTTTTATATCAAAACGGTTCATGCTTGAAAATATTAGTTTGGCCAAGAACCAAATGAGAAAACAAATCAGGTTGGTGTACTCAAGTGAGGAAACAAATTGAGGGTGGGGTACCAAGTAAGAATACAAATTGAAGATGGGATACCATGTAAGGATATATACTCTGGATAGATACATCACTTGTCTTTGACAAGCCTTATCAATCATTAATGTCGAAACTAACAAGTAAAGTTCTAGGATATTGAAACTAGGGTAGCAAGTGAGGAAATCAATTCAAGGTGGGTACCATCGTACCAAGATGTTGCAGATAACAAAAATTGTCCTACTTCTTAGTAAGTCTCAATCGTTCTGCAGAGTAGTTTGACATACCTGGTACATTGTATATATAGTATGCCAACAAAAAAAAACCCTGGTAGAGTTCACCAGATGGTCTTATGATAGGACAGAACTGTGGTAGTTTATTCCAGCCATGCTGGCAAAATATCAACCTGAGTTTGAGGGGGTAAAGGTGTTAAAGATTAATCAACAAGTAGGTAGTGTTGAGACCACAAGAAATGACAGCATATGTACAGGTGGGGGTGGGCAACACTTCAAGATATCATCTCGTGGTATCAGGTATTAAATTGTTCATTTATGCTTGTCACTAGAAGCAATTCAGTAAATTATAGGTAATAAAAAGTTTAATTAAATAAGAGGGGATAAGAATCTAAAATTTAATTTTACCGGGCATTGATGCTA